CAACTACTGAGCCAAACCAGGATGATCAAAGAGGGTCTGATTACAGTGTTTGCCTGAGTGTGTGTGCGTGTGTGTGTGTGTGTGTGTGTGTGCGTGCGTGTTTGTGTGTGCGTGTGTGTGTGTGTGTGTTTGTGTTTCTGCACTTTTTGGGGGCTTCATACACTGTTGGATATACAGAGTAATATATAATGCATCAGTGGTGCAAAATTGCTCGAGTTTGATAAGAACCAGTGGTGCCAGCGGTACATCAGTTCCATAGTTTAATGAAGCTATCATCTCAGTGAGATCAGGTATCAAAAGAAACACAGTTTGGTATTTTAGCCCTGAAGAACCAGGATGAACGTAGGTTTGTAATAACGTGATTATTTTCCCTTTTGGTGCAGACTGCAGACAGGATATAATAAAAAAGTCAGAGTGTGAATATTGTTATATTAATATAATATTAATATTATGCATTTTCAATCTGTGCAAACAACATATGCATTAAATGTCATTAAAACTTTCACTTGATAAAGCCTACCCAGAAAGCTTCATCTGCAGTCTATAGTGAACAGACACAGACCTGCTGATTATAACATTCCATAAATTCCATTAAAAAACGCTCCACCAAGAACCACCACCACCAGTGTTGTGAGGCTCAGTGACCAGACACACAGAAATAAAGATGACCTGTAATAAATAAACATGAGGCTGTGAGGAATAACTCTCTTTTTTGCCAGCCTTGGGTGTCCATTTGAGGAACTCTAGCTTAGAAAACTAGCTTAGCATTTATAACAAAAAAAGCAGACTGGACATTAAAGATGGTGTCTACACTGGGATTTTTAAGCTGTAATAAAATGTAATAAAAAACACATAATTCTTTTTTTTGGGGGTGGAGACTGAATTGAACCTAGTCCTTATGACGACAGCTGACATTCCCAAAACCTGTGTGGATGCTTGAAATACAGTTGAGGGTGAATTAAAGTCAGATGGAGATGTGGATGAACTTCTATTTGTGTTTTATACTGAACATGCAGATGCCTTAAATCCTACAGATGGTCATTTTAAAAACACAGCTGATTAAAAGTGTTTTCTTACTGTTTACATTCACAAGAAGGGTTAGAAGAGATTGGATTTTTTCCCTCTGTTTCCCTGTGGGTGGTTTAGTCGGTAGAGAAGGGCACTGTTATTGTGTCAAGAAGCAACCCCTGCAGGATCCAGCAGTTTGATGAGCACATTGCAGAAGAGACCTAGTCAATACACAGGTTTAAAGGAGCTCCCCTTGATATGCATTTAAAAAAATAATCAGGTGATCACGAGCTTCTCTCGTCATTTGCTCCCTGCATGTGTTTCTGGCAATGGGAGACAGTCCCTTACATCACAGATAAAATACGTTGGCTGAGATTATACGCATGTGCACACCATTCCCACAGATGAAGAAATACGTTTCCGGCTTCAAATTAAAGAGGTATAACCACTCACATCTGACTAAAAGTAAAAAACACACAACATGAAGAGACATTTAGATTAGCTGTTCAGTTAAGCAGGCTGTAGAATGGTAGGTCGTAGGGAGAGACTCTTTTTATGTGAGACCCCTATGTGAATTCATAGGATGCTTCTTTGCCCCCATGACATCACCATGACATAGGCTTGTGCCGTTTTGAAGCACACTTGTAATATAGTGGATTATCAGCTACAAAGTGGCCCCGTGTTAAGCCACACCCTGTTTTAAACAAACATCAGGAGAAAGTTAACTGGGATAGTAAATCAGTGGAGCAGTAGCTTCATTTTCTCACTGTTTTACATTATGCAATTGGATTATTTGGGGGGGGCTGACTAAAAGAAAGAACCCACAACCCTCACTCCCACTAAACGTCCAGTTTGATGGCATAGCTCGCAAGATGAATATGCCGTATGAGGCTTTTGTCCAAAATATAATGTTAATTTTCATTAAGTCACAATAATAACATGTTTTTAAACAGGATTTGAATTAGTAAAATACATTTTGATGTTATTGTACCATGAATAAGTTTTTGTGTCTCAAGCAGCTGCTTGTGAGAACATGTTTACGTTCCTGTTTTGATTTCATTTTGCTCTTTTTATCTATTTTAGTCAGCGTTTGTAAACAGGAACCATCAAGGGAAGGTTCCTGTAAATCCATAATGCTCAGGTTTTAAGGGCAAAATTGGTTTTATGGAAAGAAAGTGAAATGCCATTTAAGTTATGACATATAATCAATGCTATATCTTTGCAAAAACAAAAATAAATTCATGGCTTTTTTTGTCTCGCATCTTGTTAATCAAGGACTGTCTCACAAGTGTTGGCTAGATGAATTTGCAGCTCTTTTCTCTTCAGTAGCGGTAAAGGCAGTGAACACGGACGCGATGCATTTTGGCTTTGCTCATCGTTGATACACAGTCTGTAGTCACACCATACGGTAATATATTCTGGCTCGATTTTGTTGATACATTACAATTAATAACACACAATGTTTCAACAGAGCTAATGGCCTTTGTTGCATTTTATTCTCTGTGGTGTGTCTAAACTAACACCATAAAGACAGATAACTCTTGTTTATTTTGTCTGTCAGGTGAAAAGCATAGAGTCAGTAATGTGCAACTGAAACCACAATATCTGCTCATGTGAATTAATCGAGCCAGTCTAACAAAGAAGAATGAAAAGAGAGCAGGTTTATTGCTTTTGCCAGCTGAGAAAAGTGTGTGTGTGTGTGTGTGTGTGTGTGTGTGTGTGTGTGTGTGTGCAGTGTG